CCGAGATCAGGCTCTGGATCCGCCACTGCACCTCACAGTATCAAACCCCCTCCCCCACACTATTACCGACTTCCCTCACCGTATCAACCCACTGTCCCACACAATACCCCCTCCTTCTCACACAGTATTAACCCCCTTCTCTCACAGTATCACCCCCCTCACACACACTGTCACCTTCAGTCACACACACTGTCACCTTCAGTCACACATACTGTCATGCCCCCCACAATGTAGTGTCACCATACTCTCACACAGGTAGCCTCCCCCCACACTGTCACCCCTCCCCCACACACACTTTCAGCCTCTTTACGCATCCACACTCATATTAACCACTCCTCTTGTTAAACGTACCCCCTCCAAACTCACCTGCCCTCACTCTGCCACACTCACCCTGTCAAATTTCCCCCCCTAATTATGTCACACTTACCTTCTCTCACTTTGTCACACTCTCCCCCCAACCCTGCCACTCATCCTTTAACATTAATGCCTCTAATCCTGTCACATAAAATACAACCCTATTATTTGTTTTACACTTTAGGTGTTAGTAGGGCCTTATGTTTGAGTTTCACCTAACTCATAAAGTCTAGAGCCGCCACTGTATATATCTCAGTACACTGAATGGCACATTTCCGCACCCTTTCGGTTAATCTAATTCGGTTCTGGAACCAGGTTTTCGATACTGAAATTCTGCCAAAGCCGAACTGACATTTGTCCAAATGAAGAATAAAATCTGTAAATCAGCTATTTTTCAGTTTGTTTGTTTTTGCCTAAAATTTGAAATTCACTTTTAATTTCTCACAGTTCACACGTTACTAAATAGCCATTGATAGAGAATCACAGAATTCATAGCAGATTAAACCTGGAGTCTCTACATTTAAACGAGACGCATAGCTGCAGTCTCCAAGCAGGAATTTATCATCTTTTCTGCTTTTCCCATTATTTATATGACATAGATCTAAATTCTCTATTATTTCCCAGGGTTTATACATCAAAATGTCTAATAAATGCCAGTGTTCAATAAATTGCCTCTAAAGAATAAAATAAAATGTCACATTTTTCTCACATTAGAGAAATGAGATTCTTTGATGAATAGACTTCATTCTTTCACACTAAATCAGAGCAGCGACACATCTGTCTCTGAGTCAAAATATTAAACAGATGCATTAGAAAGTGGAAAACTATATATATGTAATGTAAAAATACAAACTGCTTTCACTCTTAGTTTATCTTTTAAAAGCAGCAATTTTTCAAGTGAAATTTTCTGTGATTTATTTTGACACACCAGGTTGGAGTTGACACATTTTTAATGCACTGTAGAGAATGGGATTTAAAAAAATATATGCGAAAACAAGAAATTCAAAATAATGAACGGGAAAAAAAAAAAAGATACTCACATTTAAAATTCCTGCATTTATTGCAAAGGTATAGGAAGCCCACGGTTTTGCTTTCACCATACTTGGTGGTGGCTGATGTTTACTATACTCTCTCTATTATTATTATTGTTATTTATAAAGCGGCAACATATTCCGCCGCGCTGTACAATAGCTGCCCTTTTCCCTCTAGTTGTAATTAAATTCACAGCTGGATATATTGAACATTGAGTGAGCACAGTGCTCTCAGCCAATCACGGTCGTGCAGGTACCATGATAACGTTTATTCTGAGCCAAAACAGTTTGAAAATAAAAAATAAAAAAGAGGGCCGGACTTAGAAACGAAAAAAACCCCAAAAAGGGCAGAAAAAGATTCAAATAAATTAACTTGAAATTTATCGGTTTTCTTACAGTCGTATTTGGTTTTGTATATACTATTCAGCGCATTATCTATAGAATGTTTCAATTCCAAAGTAGGATTAAGGTATTCCTTATCACAGTGTCTGTTCAAGGAATTCTGCATATTAGGGGGTACATCTGAACTAAAGATGCTATGGACAATGGTCAGTGATGGAAGTTACAGTCCCCATGTTTATCGGTACACCTGTATTCAAGATCTGGTGTACTATAACACTCACCTGGCTGGGAGGGATGGAGATACAGTTTATAATATATTAAGGGATTATATTATTATAGGTAATAAAACGATTGGCAAAAGAAATGCAGGACTATAACCTTTTTCTGAACTGCATCCAGCATCATAGGAAATATAGTTCAAAAACATCTTGGGTGCCTAGGTTAGGTCATTGACATGTAGCAATGTGACTCCCTAGGTGTGCATCAGACTATTTATTTTTTATCATTATGTTTGAAAAGTGTATTCCAGGTATTGCATTTAAATAGTGTTATATTGATCTGAAAACATGCACTGCTGCCATCTTGTGGGGAATAATCATAGCACAAATGAAATGCAATAAAATACAGGTCCAGGATTTTGTTCACAGCACCCTTACTGTAAACATGCCTTCATTTAGCCGGAAGGTCTCCCCTTCTATTTTGTCAATATTACCATTCCTCCTGTTGGAGAAAACTGTTAAAATAAACATACTACTTAACCTGGGGTTATTGTACAGTGCGAAGGTAGCAGTCAAAGTAGTGTATCTTGAAGATATCCAATAGGTTTTCTGAGGAATATGCAGAGTGGTACAGCCTGGACTGGATCTACATGATGGAGTGAGCTCTGGACCATAAAAGATCGGAGGCTACACCCAAGTCAGCACTATATTATTATATTGAACTAATAATCACAGCTGTAGGCTATCCTTATATTTGTTAGGAAACAGGGCTGATCCAAGGCGATTCCGGGAGGGGGGGAGGGTGGTTTGAGAAAGGCTCTGTCACAAGGGGCCCAGGAGGTGGCCAACTGGCCACCTTAGATTGCCCCAGAAGTAACGCTTATTCAATAAGGCAGAGTAGGTACCTGTTTACCCGGATGACAAGTGCCTACTCTGCTCTGAGTGATACCAGGGGCCACAATATGACATCATTCCGACCCCTGCATACTAAACAGTGTGCATGAGGAACTGCAGGATTAAAGCACAGTCCCAGCTAGAGGTGCTGGATGGGCCTCAAAAATAAAATAACATTTGTGAGTGTGCAAGAATGTGTCGGTCAGTAAATGTGTCTCTCTGTCAGGGAGTGTAGTGTGCATCAGTCAGTAAGTGTGTTTTGTCTGTCAGTGAGTATGCTTCAAATCATTGTGTGTGTGTCTGTCATTGCATGCACAATTAACTGCAAATGGAGGAGAGTCACTGTAATATCTTCACACGTGTTCCCTGCTTGTTCTAATTTTTTCGCTACATGGAATTCTTGTGCTACAAATATCTTTTACTATAGTATACAGTACAACCAATGTATGTTATGTATGATCACTGATGAAATGAATTCTTTGTTGAATTATCTTTTCCTGATGGGATGAACTATACACAAAGCAACTAGCGAACTACAAATGAGAAATTACTGTATACTGGATGAGATTTCCATAAGAATATTCACTTATCTTGTTATTGATCTTGCTCTATACAGATTTGTACATATAGGAACTTTGATAGTGTATTTTATTATTATTAGCACTTTAAGCAAATATTAAGCACTTGGTAATTTTTTGTCACTTGTCACTTTAACATTATTTGTGGTAGGGGCATAAAAAGCTGAGGCAAGAGTGTAAGGAGAGTATGAAGGTGTAGCAAGGTGTAAGAAGAGGAAAAGTCGGTTGAGGTG